TGTTACATAATTAGATCAGCTACCGGGGCTGCGAATCTGATATCATTAAAGAGTGATGCTCATTGTTGTATCACGTGTCAATATGGAATGAATTTGGTCTATTGTAAATGCCTTACATGCTATTTAGTTTTCCTATAGTAGGTTTGAGAAGCTCACGGCCACGCCACTCCTCCACTTCCACAACATCCTCAAAACGTAACCTCCCCTGATTGCTACGCTCACATCCCCTCTGGAAGGTCTCCTGGCCCTGATGGTGTGTCACCGTCTTGTGTGAAAGTCTGTATTGACCAACTCGCCCCCAACTTTACACAGATCTACTGCAGATCACTGGAGCAGTGCAAAGTTCTTTCCTGCGCCAACGCTCTACACTGGTTCATTTCTGTTTAGAATCTCTTGATAGTCTTGAGATTTAATTTTCCCCCGCAGCTATTAAGCAAAGTAGCCCCAGAACATATCAATATCCTTCATGTTTCAAACTGGGGAAAATGTTCTTAATATTGTTGTGCCATATGCCATGATCATACTTTTTGGACATTGGGAAGCAGTGTCCATATTTCATCCTGATAGGATGACCAGAGGAGAGAACGCAGCTTTGGTGGATAACAGCTGGGGGAATTCTGCAGCCCCCCCTTTTTCAGCAAAAGCAGCCACCAGCAAGTCACATGGGAGCCACCAGAGGTGTGAAAACCTACCCCCTCCCTGTGAAGTCAGAGAAAACCACAGAGCACGCAGGATTCTGCCTCTTTTGGCTCTCTCTTTTGCTCTTCTGCTGCAGCACCTCTCTCCTGGTCCCTTCTGCTCCTGCGCTCAAAGCTGGGGCCCACTGTGGCCCACAGTGGAGATGCGGGCCCCAGGGGAACCAGATCCCCAGAACCATCAAGGATGAGTCAGAACTCTTCAGAACCTAATTGCTGCAAACAGAACTTTTGCAACACATTTCTGTTGAGTTTCAGAACTTACAGAGCCAAACTGGATGAGGAGCATGCCCTGGTGTGAGACTGAGAGGACAACTGCTGTGAGACTGAGACAATGAGTCCCTGACTGCAGAGCTGCAAAACTGGATGAAACTCAAGCTTTCCAAATGGACATGGAAAAAGGTTTGCAGGTCTGGCATGATTAGGGACAGAACAAGCAATGTGTCTTTTGATGATGCTAATCATATTGTGTGTTTACTGCTGAGTAAAGACAACGCTAATTGATGCTAAAGAATGGACTGCATGCTACGCTATGCTACAGGAATATGTGTTGAGCTGTTGCTAAAGCTTAGACAAGCTTTATTCACTAGGGATTTAAACACTGATGTAACATTAGTGTTCATGTGTTCCTCAGATGCTCATTACATTTCCATTACCAAGTATGACCAAGAGTCATTTAGTGGAATCCTGATGTCTATTCGCTGCTAGCTATTTCAAAGAGGGTAAAGAATCATTTAGCTAAAGGTTATTGGTTCTTGATTAAGCAAATCATTCAATAGAACATTATTTGGCCAAATAATGTTTTATTCACCTCATGGATTTGCATTGTGAATTGGTCTGAAAACATTCCAATTTCTTTAAAATTAGTGAAAAGCTAATTTGATCACATCCCAAATTCTTCCAGATAAACTTTGGTTTCAAACACAGAATCCATCTTAAACTGTAATATGTTTTTCAACCGTTTTCCCCTTCCTCTTTGTACATAGTAGTTAGTTTAGTTTAGTTGAGTTTTACTAGTCTTAGTTAAGAGTGTTAAACTGAAATACGTTTGATGTGGAGCTGAATCATTTTTGTTAATAAAATCTTATATTTTGAACAGAAGTTGTGGTGAATTTATTCCATGTATGTGCAGAAATAACTGTTTGACCATGATTAGAGCTCGAATCACTCTTTCATCTATTGTTCTAACACACAGTTAGTAGGACTGTGTGTCATAAACAGTATATAACAGCTGAAATAATATCTGATTAAATAAGATATTTTACCACCCCTACAGGGGAGGGCAATAAACATCTTAAAGTATCAGAAACATAAATTCCCAGCAGGCTGGGAATAGAATTTAACTATAGAATCACAACAATATGCTTAATTTGTTTTCCATCTGTGAATGTAGAGCTGATATGTCTTGGCAAAAGTTAAATTTTTCTCACATGCGTCAATAGGACATTATTCCAGAGATGTTTTGGCCTGTCAACATGCAGTTTACCTGATTCTACCATGGCTTTTTATTATTTGTTTTCAACAACGATGTCTCCCTTGTTAGTCTCCTATTAAGTTATTGACTTAAACAATGACAAATGGAGCCATCTGATCCTTAAGCTTGAAGTTTTTTCAAGGCTCTTTTGTTGCCACTCCCAATATCTATCTTTGATTTGTCATCAGTTTTCCTCCTCCGTATATTGATTTTTGCTATAGTCCCATGGATCTTAAATTTCTGAATAATATGTGCATCTGTGGTCCCAGGAACTGCTTGGAGATGGTCTTAAAGCTTTTACCTTTAACATCCTAATTCTAAAATCTTTTGCGAAAACTCTTTCCTTCACTTTTGCTGTTCCATGTTGAGTGTGGTACATACCATGACATCAAACACGCATAGCCACTACCTGTAGCACCATGTCTAGGCCAGCTGACTGATTGCAAGATTGTAGACACCTCTGATGCTAATTAATGTACCTTTTGTCACTATATTTTCAGTCTTTTCTAGGGGTACCTTAATTTTTGTCCAGGATTGTTTCAAGAATTTGTGTCTTAAAATGATTCAGTAAATGAAAGGGGTACCAACAATTATGTCCACATAAATATTTTTGTTAAACTTTGTTAGGTGGGCTGTGTCAATCGATTCAGTAAGAAAAAAAGATTTTGGGCAACCCTATAGCTCCTTGCAACGGCTACAAATGTCAGGAGTTTCTTATGCTAAAGTTGCTAGGAACCATACAGCTCACTGTTCGTAGCTTGGGGGTTGGCAACCCGTTGCTCTTTAGCGCCCCCTGCGTCTCACTGGGCTTTTTTCAAAGCAAGTAAAATGGAAAATGATGGATTTTTGTTTGTTTATTTCTTTTTAATAGCGAGTAGGAGAAGAAACAAACACACTTTATGTTTTCTATTGCTGTGAAAATTTTTATAGTAAATACATTTAAACAATAAATTTAAACATTTCTTTCAACAAAGATTTGCATCAGCCTGCGACGCACGTTTCAGTGCGGCACGGTGCCAGGAGGAGGCTGTTGGGGAAAAAAACAGTGGGTGGACTGTAATAATATTATATTGGCTTATTTTGTTTAAATAGTCTTCTTACCTTGTCAAAAGGCTGCTGTTGCAGGCTGCGTTTTATTGCACTGTTACCACTGTAAGGTTGGGAAGAGGATTGTATTGTTACTGTGGTTTGAAAAGGAGTGCATTTTATTTCCATGTCAAGGTTTGAAATTACAGGAGTCCTATTTTGCAGATTCTTTTTTTTTTTCTTCAAATCCTCAAAATAAAAATAATAAAAAAAAATCTGATTTTTTTTTAATTGTGTTTCTGTAATTACATCAATTCAATAAATCATAATACATTAATACTGTAATGCAAGTTAAACTTAAAGCACCAAATATTGTACAGCAGATTAGTGACCATGTGACCTTTTGGACCTTTCTCGGCATGGTTTCAAAAGCGTAGTGTAAATGGGGCTTTAGTCTGCTCTAAACTGGTCCCTACAAGGCCACCTTCACAGGTTCAATTGTCATAGTAACCAAGTCAGACTCAGAGAAAGCCTGCTTTATGAAACCCATATACACCAAAATAAGCCAGTGTTGCCCACTAAGTCTGGTTTATGGACTTCACCAGTTTTCTAAATTACTCAAAATAATCCTTCTCTGGATTAAATGACTACAGGCCTTACCATACTTACCAGACCAGGTTGGGGCCCAAAAACAATTTTTTTACCTGCTTTTTGTGCCAAATAAATCCCCACACTAATAACATATTAAAGAAAGTGTATAAATACAGACTATAAAGGGCAACTTTCAAAGACGAAGAATGAGAAAGAAGGGTTCAAAGCTAAACCTCCCAATATTTTCAAGGCCATCAAAATAATACTATTGACAATAATCAAAAGTTCAATTCAGTTTATTCTTATAATGCTGTCCCAACACGTCATTTCAAGGCACTTTACAATTCAACTAGATCATGCAGTCAGATTGGTTCAAAGTTTTCTATCTAAGGAAAAACCTCAGATTGCATCGATTCAGTGAGCCGACAGCAGTCCCTCACACGAAGCATGCTTCTACTGTGCACAGATTTCTCCATGAGTCTAAGTGCGATTGCATAACAATTATTTATGGGCAAAGGAACCCATCCTTATGCCCCTCCAAAATGAATGTAGCCCAGCTGGCTGAAAATATTTCATATTTTGGATTATAAAGATTCCCTTTAGGAGTGTGTGCTTGCATAGCAGTTTTTACCAATTATCTCTGTTTTGTCCTTTAATGTACCTAACCCTACATCTTGTCCATTGACTGCTTGGTGGTTGGTGAATTATAATTTAAGTCCAGATAATATGCAAGTCTAGTATTTGCTCTTTTATTATTTGGTCTTTATCATTCTGATTCCCATCAGATCATTTATTTAGTGTCTTAAAGAGTCTTTTAAGGTTTATGTATCATTAAGTCAAAACAAAGAGGAGGAAAACGTCAATAAAAATCCAATTTTTACCAACCATATGATATGAACACATGTATTTGTTATAGCCTACCTAAATAAATGTGTTTTTATATTTTTGATACAAACCCTACTTACCTGTTTAGAAGCAGGAGTGGTGCCCTAGTGTTTACAGCATTGCACTTGGGTATCGGAGGTTCAAGTCCCACACACTGCCAGTCTGGCTCCCTGAGCAAGACCCATAACCCCTGCTCCCAAAGGGGGATGGGTTAAATGCAGAGAGATAAATTTTTTGCTCTGTAACAGTATAATGAAAATCAAAGCTGGGAGAAAAAAAAGATAGTTTAAAAGACCCCCCCAAAGTTTAAAAGAGGAGAGAAACTAGAATGTGTGGAAGCGTGGAAGTTTATTTAAACAGTCCATCGAAACATAAAGCAACAGCTTAAATATGGTACATTAAACTTTGTTATGTCGGGGACTTGTGTTAATTATATCCTAAAACTAGCAAGAGTGGTTAGTATTCAAAGTAATAATCTTGTTCACTTTGTCTCATTGCAGGGTTTTCTATAAAAATACAAAAGCATTGAATAAGAAATACATGTGTGTGAGTACAAAGGGACAGAAAGCCAAAGGGGAGTTAGCTTCTCTCTGTCTGTAACACCTTCATTTCAGATGCTAATGTGAGTATTTGCTTCACGCTTTGTTTTTGTCTGAGCTCTCTTGCTCCGCCTCCGCCGCTCCACTGCCAAAGCGGCGGTTCAGCTCTGATGTCAGCACTGAGCAACAGGATTTCTGTGAAAAAGCAGGAAAGCAATGAAGAAACATACATCACAAACCTGACTTTGTCATATGTACCTCTGTGCTTACCTTGCCATCTTTAGCTTGGTTGCGGGCCCTGGATAAAAGCTCAAGAAGGGCCAGCAGCAGCCCGATGCCCAGTCCTAGTCCCAGGAGCAGGAAAAGGCCTCGCAGGTTGTGGGGATTTAGTGCCTCAGACATTTGAGCTTCACCAAAACCAACACAGCTGCTGGCCCACCACTTCTCCCTCAGGTGTGTTAACTCACCTGACTCACTAAGCTGGAGAATGGCAATGGTCAGGTTCTTTACCAGTGGAGAACCTGATGGGGCAGGAGATAAGGTGTGAAATCTGAAGGCTTCTAATGAAACAGAACTTATATTTCATGCCAAGATAATAGCTTTAAAAAATTACAGCTTTTTTATTGTTAATTTTTTTAAGAGGGAGATTTTAATGTTAAATATCTGAAGTTTTTAGAACATTTATTAAAGTTTGGTTTTCTGTGCACTGAGAAGATAAAAACTAGATACAGTATAGTATAATTTTAAAATTTTAAAGAAAAAGTCCAGTCATACTCAGAATACAAACTTCTGAAAGTACTTCAAGTACCGGTATTAAATAATTACATACTTTTCAATAAATTATCAGTGTTTTTAATTAAGAGTAATTTTCATTTGAATTTGCTTTACTGGAGGCATCCATGTTTGTCAAAGAACACTACTGCCACCTACTGGTTTGTGACGTCACGGTGCGGTATCGGCTGTTGATCAAGTCCCAGTGCTGTATCTGGTGTTTGTCACAACGCGCTATTATCCAGGTCATCTTGAAAACATTCTTCTTCCAAATGTTGGCTACATATTACGGGTTTTTTCTCTGGCCAGAAGTTCGATGGCAAATCCTCCCTCTTCAAGTTGGCGATCCAACGACAAACCCGTTTGTGGAGGATCAGGAATCGGAAAGGTGAAATTACTAATTTTTTTCCACTTTTACCCGATCTATTCCAACATCCAGCTGCCATGCACGTGGGCATTGTCAGTTTCACTATAGCTCTGGTGAATTTCAGTGGTGAAGTCCTCTGGAAATCTTCAGTAATTGTTGTTGATTGCAGATGTGTCTAGTAGTTCCCATTGATTTTGCTTGTAAAGCGGGGAGAATGGTAGCTTCTTGAGACCATCCTGATCTCGCGAGCTTTCAAGATTTCACTCGCTAATCAGTCTGGAGACTCACGGTTAAAGAAAATTTGGAGCCGTTCACCAAACGAACGTCCAATCAGCGTTGGCTTTGAGGCGGGTTGAGGTGTGACGCCACGAGAAGCGCGACAGTTCAGTCTAAAGAACATGGCGGCTTCAGCCGATGAAACTAGCGTTAGCATGGCTATCAAGCAAGTTTTATTGGAATTACAGATTATTTCTTCACTGAAAGAAGAGCAAAACACTGCTCTGGAGGCTTTTCTCAGAGGAAAAGATGTTTTTGCTCTTCTCCCGACTGGTTTCGGCAAGAGTAGCCTGGCTTGTGGTTGTGTTTTCGTCGTTGCTCTGTTAGTACGTCATATGCTTCGTTGATCCGATTGATTTATTTGGCCCGTCTATCACCAACATAGGCCAATCAGCTAACCAGTATTTTCGCCCCTTCACAAAATTACTTCAACGGAAGGTTTCCAGATGGATATGCGGAGCAAATCCATCTGGCTGAGTCAGGTTAGGAGAATGGCGCTAGGCTTACCGCACCGTGACGTCACTGCCGGAAGATGTCAGGAGGGAGGTGTTACTATATTTGGGCAGAAATGGCCGCTCCCAGACTCAGTGATGCAACGAAAATGATTATTTTTATGTTTTTTACTAATTAACGCTAAATTCATTAAATTACAGTGAACCTATTAGTTTTAGATATAAATAATGACCCATTGGTTATTCCTTGCTGACTGGACCTTTCCTTCCTGTCTAACAGGGCAAATCGAAAGACATATTTCATTGTATTACTTCTCATTCTTGCAAAAACAAAAGTTCCAATTGTCTGCTAAACCACAACCTCTTATTTAACTGAAGCTACTATTTAGCACATTGTTTTAATTCTCCATTTATACTTTGATTTAAAATAAACATGCACAGGACTGTTTGATGCACTCATTGTTTAAAAGGATAAAGAAATATATCCATTTCTCTAGTGATTGGTTTTATCTGTCATGATAGCAATTGGCACATCCCTGTTAGAAACAGTTATTTAACGGACACATTTTTGCAAAACATTTTTCTATTTCATCTTACGTTACATATATTTCTAAATTATTTATGACTCTTTATGGTCAGACCACAGAGCCTTTTATTAAATAAATTTTAAAATTACTATTAAGTGTATGTTTTTTGTATTCGTAAATTATTTTTTTAATTATTATTTTATTTCTAAGCCTTAGCTTACTGTTATATAATTTCTTGGATTAACATTAGTTCATTATAAAGCATATGATCTTTATAGCTAAATGTTCCAGTTTAAATATAGTTTACCTACCAACCTGAACTGTATTTAGTGATCAGGTTTTATGAAACATATCTGCTACTATTTGAATTTATTCAAATTAATATTAAGACAGCTTCATAAAAAATGTGTGAAGTTTTATTCTGATTCCAAAAATAAATCTGTGGAGTCTAAAAGGACCCTGACAGATGCGCTCTTCTTACCCAGAGGAGCAGCGATGCTGTATGACCTCATAGAGACGACCTCCTGGGCACGGGTCAATCCACAGTAACGGGCCACAGCCAGGTCCAGGGACACTGCTTCACCAATAAAGGCAAAGTTACCCTCCTGAGCGAGGCGAATCCCCTCCGCAGTGGAAGCCACATAGCTTTTTTTACGCTCCATGTGCTGATGAATACGACGGTACACAGGATTGTTTGAATTCTAGGGAAAGGAGACACAATGAGGTTTAATAAACTCCAAGTTTAGACATTTCAACATGTCTGAGCCATTGATAAATACTGAGAGTTACTGTGCCTTGAAAAAGAGCATAGTGGATCCATTTTCAACTGTTCCATAATTGATCACGTCCTGATTGGCCAGGTCCTCAAAGCTTGTGATGGAGATGCTTTTGCTCTTGGAGTGCAGCAAGGTATTGAAGTTGGCAAAGTAGCAGGCCAGCAGCAGCACAGCAAATATCCACCAGATGGCGCTGACCAAACGTCCAGACAGAGCTTTAGGGTGAGGGCCCGCACCTGGGAGAGGACAAGGATGGCATCATCGCTTATCAGCCTATAAAAGCAGGTTTTATTTCCAAACTAAGAAGCCTAAGCCTAAATAGTTCACCAATGTATGTAACTAGGGAATAATTGGATCTTTAATGTTCCTTTTAAGCATCATTCCTCTTCATTCAAAAAGAAAAACTGAGAAGCAGAGCCATGACGTCATCATTTTTAAATGGCTCTGTGTCCATAAGCTTTATTGAAATCTAACAAATTTTAAAATCAAACTGAATATGGACTTAATGGGCTCCAAAGGCTACCTGGCAAAGCTGCCAAAAAGTATTTATAAAAGGTAATTTTAAACATTATGGGAGTAAAATTAGTTTGATTCTAATTCTTGCAGAAAGTTAATAGAGTAATTCAGAAAGAGTTGGTTCAAAACCACTGAAGTTAGTTCCAAATGAAAACCACTTTTACATTTAGCTTTTATTTCAAAGCGTGTAATCAGCAACTTTGTAGAAATAATTTTGAAAAAGCTGACACTAAATATAAAAGCTACATTTCTTGCTTTTTGTTCCATCTTTAAACTCCCTGAAATCTGACTAGAGTTGTTAGAAATGTGAAGCCATAAAGAATTTTAAATTTTTGCCCATTAAATGCTAAATACTAATAAATGTTGTGTTTTAAAACTGATCAGTAACAGATTTAACCAAAATTATTATTATTATAATTTTTTTATATAATTCTTTATTTCAAACATGCAAGAGAAAAACAAAAAAACAATAAAACAATGTTTAAAAAAATTGGAGAGAAAAACAACAAACAAGGTACCCTTCTTTCCTAAATTAATATACCTCTATTACATGTGCGAAAAGGAGTAGGAAGAAGTAAAACTTATGTACTCCTACCCCTTTAATTTTTGTATTTCTTTAATTTACAATATTTATAATTATGTTGCTATATATATCCATATAAATACATACCTACCTACGTATACATAAATATGTATACACATATACCGTCATACATATATACAAATTAACAAAACTTTCTACAATGCTTCTCTGTACCTTTTGAAAATAATTTCTTTGTAAATTTTTTTGAAAAGGAATATGTTTGGGCTTTGCTTTAGGTTCTCATTTAGTTTGTTCCACAATTTAACTCCGCAAATTGATAAACATAATCTTTTTCTTGTTGTTCTACATCTATTAGTCTTAAAATTTCCCCTTCCCCTTAAATCATACCCTATTTTTACTAACCGTATTTGTTGTTCTTTATAAGGAAAAAATAATGTATGATTTTATCGCAAAGATTCAACAACTCAGCTTAGTTGAAAAAAGAAATCATGGTGTGAGGATCTGAAAATCAAGAATTTATTTTTTTGTCCTGATAAGAAAAAAGAAAGAGCCAGTATACAGTGTGCCTGTCTTTGTGTATGCATTCGTTTGCCAATCTCTGCATTACCTTGCAGTGTCAGTGCTCCTGTGATGTACCAGAAACTGTGCAGCAGAGTAAAGTTGTGCTCATCAGTTTCTGGGTCGGCCCATTCCGTGGGACTGATTCTGAGGAGTAAAACATGAAGAGCAGTGCAGTTATCAAGTCCAGCAGGACCTGTCAGAAAGCAACAGTTATTTTTCATGTCTGAGGAGTTACAAATATATGTTCAGAAGAGGATTTGTATTTAATTTTATGTTTCCTCAAATTTGACCAACCAGTCTCAGTCCCCTCAGCCCAGCCTCCTCTGCTGTAACAACTATCCTCATTTGAATGCTTGATTTATTGGTTTTATTCAAAGGTATAGTGGAGGATGTTCTTTTCCCGGGGGGATCATCCAAATAAGCGGTCCTCCTAATTGTCAATCACTCTGATATGTTTACGTAAGGCTGTTGTTCTGTCAGATGAGCATACCTCGTCAGACCAGCATACCCATATTTATTACGCATGAGCAAAACGTCCAATTTGCGTTTACCCCTTTAGTTTTGTAGGAAAAATAGACTTTAAACTACCTCAACAGGCGTATTTCCCTTTAGGCATTTACAAAAAAAACAAAACAATTTAAGGTCAGATAGCATAATACTTAAAAAAACCCCACCAAAAAGTAAATAATTCATTTTTTTCTTTTGTACATCCTGGCTGCTGAGAATTACCTCCCCTATCATAGTTCCCTTTTTGTTCACGTTTTAATCCATTTTTTCATCAATATGCGAGAGTTTGGGGCGATGCATGCTCCTGTGACGGGGGGAGGGGGGGGGGGGGGGGGGGGGGAACTCTCAGCAGGAAGGTATTTCTTGGCATTTATCTCCACCAAACCACTCAATTTTATGGCATCCATGCATAATCAATATGAAAACATGAAGAATATTTTTAAAAGTTTCCTTTTAATTCATATTTCTTGACATAACACCGGTGGCGAGTCTGACGTAATGGAAAAATTGCAAATCTTTTGGAAAGTAAGCTTGTATGAGCGATGCAAACAGCAACTTTTAAACAGAGTGTGCATGAGGAGAAAATATCTTGTGCATGCTCTTGCATGTGTGTAATAGACATTACCTCTTTGGAGCGCATGTGCATGTGCATTTTTTTAAAGTCCGCAAAAATCCTCCTCTATACCTTTAAGTGTCAAGGATAACATTGATCCTCAGCCCACATGGGTTTAGAAGAAGCTCAACAAGATTCTTTGGACCAGTGCCGGCAATATCATGGCAGGTAGACTATAGAGCTCCTGGTAGATTTTGCAGATGTAGACCCACCAAAGGTACACAGGTGCACACATCCACCAAGGTGTTTTTTTAGAGAGTGGAGTCTTATAAACAGCAGAAGAAAAAACTGAACTTGGCTACCACTGATGCTCCTCACAGGAAGGAAGAGGGCAGACTACCTGCTAAGGAGAATGAAAGCGGATGTGTTTTACTCTGTGGTGAACAGTCTGTAGGGCAGTTAGTTGGAGCAACAGCTTATTTAAAGCAAAAAGGAGGTGGTTGAACATTGTAGGGGAGTCGGCTCTGTCCTATTCCCTAAACATAGTGAAGGTCGTAGGAGACGGAAGGACTGTAGCATCACTGCTGTACAATGTGTTCTGTCTCATTAAACTGCTGCAAAACCAAATAGCCCCCTTAGTAGAAGACTTTGAATCAAAATTAATCAAGGTGCATTAATAGCTGCTTTTGGACTTGAATACTGCTCTCAAAGGTAAGTGTTAACATCATATAAATATTTGCATGGTTTTTCTTCTTTCCTGTGAGTGAGCGGTCGGGCTTTTTGCAAGCTTGGCTAGAGATTTAAATTCTATTGGTTTTTCAGTCAGCTAACCCTCTTGTGTTGATGCACCATTTTTAGTTAGTTAACTACACATTTTGTGATGGAATTTTTTCCCCTCTGCTGTACAGTTTGATTCCTGTTTGTGATTCAGATTCACATACTTTGTTAGTCCTGTAACTGCACATATCACTATTTTGTTTGTGACATTTTAATCACAAAATGATGGTGAAATTGGAGATAACTTCTTTAGGATTTTGTTTTGCATTTGAACTTACCTGCCTACCAAGAACACACAGAGTCCTGTCAGCAGGAAAGCGATGAGGACACCAACCCACATCTCCATGGAGAACGGAGACAGCAGGCTGAAGGAACTGTCTTCAGAATCAGCGCTTTTATGCATGATGAAGCTGAGACCAGTTTGAATGAAGGGGGTGGTCATGTCCACAAAGCGTTCTCTGACAGCAGTGACGGTCAGTGGGGCCACAGCCAGGTCAGCATCCTGGTAGATATTACCACAACAAAAGGGTCAGAAAGCAGATCATCAGTATTATCAGTTAGTATTTAACCTTTATCAGAATGGCACTTTACAGTTCAACCAGATCATACAGTCAGATTGATTCAAAGTTTTCTATCTAAGGAAAACCAGTTGATGGCATCGACTCATTGACTCAAATACAATCCCTCACACTAAGCATGCTTGTAGCGACAGTAGAGAGGAAAAACTCCCTTCGAACAGGAAGAAACCTCCAGCAGAACCAGGCTCAGTGTGTGCGACCATCTGCCGAGGCCGACTGGGGTTCAAGGAGACAGAAGCAGAGATACAAAAGCAGCAATAAAAGGCGGCCCCGTCCAGGAAACACACAGCCAGGCAGACGAGCACAGAGCCAGCTCCCATGCCAGAGGATGAAGAGAGCACATCCAGCCAGTCAGTCAGAGAAACAGGAGTAAACTGGAAAACAGGCCGATCTCTAGCATCTATAAACAATAATAATGCCCATAAGGGCACAGCAAAGGATTAACTCCTTTCAGCTGTAGAAATTCAGCCTGCCAAAGACGGTTATGGTGCACTTCTACCCTGTCACCACTGAGTCCATCCTCTCCTTCTCTATCACCATCTGGTATGTTGCTGCCACCAGCAGAGAGAAGGGGAGGGTGAAGTGCACCATTTGTTGTTTGGAGTGGGCTAGGTGGATGCAATCTTCCTTCTCTTGAGGAAATGTACACCTCGATATCCCAGAGTCCAGCAGGTAAGAGTTCAGCTGACCTCTCCCACCCTGAACACAAATTGTTTCAGAATCTCCCCATTGGCAGGAATTGCGATCCATAAGGACCAGAACCTCCAGCCACCAAAAAAACTTCTTTCCAATCAGCTGCTAGACTCAGAAGCAATCTGGTCCTCAACTGACACCTTCCTATTTTATAAAAACAACCCCAAGACAAGCACAAAAAAAGAGAAAAGACAACACAAAAAAAAAAATCCCTGAACATTTCAGCAAATGTGTGTATTTATAATGTCTAATTTCATACAGTTGTTTAATAACTGCCATGGCGTTCCTCACAAACAACTTGCATTTTTTTATTCCAAATTTTATATTTCCGTATTTATGTAATTTGCATTGTCTGTCTTTGTCTAGAAACTTCTCCCCAAAGCAGTTTTTTTGTAGACGCTGGTGAAGATTCTCAGTCATCCAGGTCATAGTAATTTCAAAAAAGTAAAAAAAAAAAAAATCCACTGGACTTTATTTTAAAGGTTGAAGACTTTTCGCTTCCCATCCAGGAAACTTTTTCTATTCAAAATGTCCCTGGATGGGAAGCGAAACGTCTTCCAACTTGGAAACAAAGTCCTGTGAATTGTTTTTCTTTTTTTTTTTTTTTCTTTTTTGGAGTTGCCTCTTGGGAATAAAGCATATCTGGTTCTGATTATTGAGCTAAATGTTGTATTAAAATGTTATCATATGTCACTTTTGTGTTCAGGTTGAACACGTTAAAGCAAAAAAAAAAAGGAAAAAAATATATATTGCCATTATATGATCTGTTGTCTACTAAACATCACACTGTACTAGGTGGGAGTGGTTATTTCATCAACTAGAACTTACCCCTTTGATTATCTCCCCAATCATACCATTCCATTTCCCACTGGAATCCATTGCTCCATATCGGTTGTCCTTCACCAGATGGATTTCGTAGTGAAAACCTAGTTTCTTGGAAAGCTCTGAGATTAGGTCAATGCAGTAACCCTCGAACTGAGAGCCCTTGCTCATGGTGTAAGGTTCATCCTGGGGAAAACAGAATAAGTTGTCAAAAAGTTCTGAATAAAATCTCAGTAAAATGCAGCTAGTGATTTGAATTAAACAAAAAAGAAATGTCCTTATCATGTCAGCTAGAAACAGCATTGTGAGAACTATACTGTGGCAGTATAGTTAAATGTCCACTTGGTAAAATGTGATACTATACTAATGACTTCCTTTCTTTAACAAAAAACAACTTTATTTATGTCTGCAAAAATATTAAGCATGGTGTCTTTCTGAAACTTCACCTCTATGTTTGAAGCAGTTATGCTGTGTTCGATCGGGGCCTGGTTCGTGGAGCAGTTTCAACACGCTCAGAGAGAAATCCCTGACTAAATTAAACTAGTCACAGTTTGGAAACCCTGAACAGCTGCCGATGATAGATAGATGGCGTACAAGAAGATTGTTGCTTGATTTGATGTTTAATGTTATATGTGGTCTGTTGGAAGCATGATAACATTACAGGGGAAAGCTGGTTTCCTATGGTAGAGTATCAGTGTATTCTATTCAAGTGCAAACCCCCGGGGTAAGAAGTGCACCTGACAGCATGTGAAGATGAAGAACAAGAACGTTTAAAGAGGTAGGACCTGTGCATCTTCTCATGGGGTACCTCTTCATTTCCATTCTGTCATTTATTACACAGTAAATACTAAAGCCGGGCATACACTGTGTGATTGTTAACCCTTTTCAGGCCATGCGAGAATTTTTCGATCGTGCCGACTTTCAGCCTGATCGTTCATGGTGTAGCTTAACCCTGCAGTTTCGTTGTACATTGTGAACTGTAGTTGCGTGCAACAATTGAAATAATCGTAGTGTATGCCTGGCTTAAGAAGCTGTTTGACTGTTTCTATAATGCTGTTATAACACTCACTCATCAATATTAGCCAACCCAGCCAACAGAAAGTCCAACAAAATGGGTGGTGTCTAACACCTCCACCTCAAACTGAGGCAGAGGAGCCTCCACTGAGGTATTAACATATTCTCATACTGGACAACAGACCTTGGTTGGGCCACAGCAGGAGGGTCCTTCAACTTCCACAACCCAGATTGAAACAGTGAGACAGATGTTGAGTGAACACAACTTGGATGTAAATGTGTGTTTTACTGTCTGTCTTCAGTATCCCCACCTACCTGTTAAAGATGTCTGTTTAATGCTGCTAATGTGAGGACAGATAAGGTCATGAATGAATGTGATGGATTGTGAGCTGAAATGGTGCCGCTAATTTCTGACAACTTTCTGAATGTGAAAAGATATCTATATGCGGTCTAAGAACTCTGTCCCAAAGAATATTTAATTCTCTGCAAATGAATGTCGCTCCTTCATTAATTGGATTCTTGTCGAAAGTACATGCCATGTTTGTGTTTTTATCACCTAATGTGTCAAACTGAAGTACTGACAGACTTTGTTTTGTTTTGCACAGAATTACAACAGAATTGTCTTGACTGAATAAGGAAATGAAAAGGCCTGATGACTGAATACAATGCAATGACCTTTGAAGTCCCCTATGAAAAGGTACTATACAGTAGTAGCCATTAAAAATTTCCCAGCTTTCCTTGATGGGTCCTTGGCTAGTCCTTGGCTGGTCCCCTGTAATTCCTTTTTAACCATCAATCTTTGTACTAAAACATTCTTTCTGTCATGATTTGTGGATATTAAGATCTAAAGAGAAGCTTCATCTCCTGGTCAGACCCCGTAATTCAGTGAAAGGTGGAGTCAGAGTAAAAATAATGTACGGCCAGGAGAAGGCCAGTGGCTGGAAGTTGGAGGGGATTTGGCTGGGAGGTGCAGGAGAGTAGGCTGCCATTCGGCTGTCGTTTCACTTGTAAGGGCAATTTTAAATGGCTACTACTCTATAAGTACTGGCCATTCAACAATATCATTAGTCTGCACTGGAGCAGGTTAATGTGAGAGCAGCTCAAATTCTTAACTTCTGTCAAGAGATGGATCATGACTAAAAAAAACAAAATGACGTACAGAAAAGACCATGATGAGATTGTATCATCAGGGATGTGGCTTCATCTTGAAGATAAGGTGAGAGACTTCATCCTCCAAAGAAGGCACAGAGTAAAGACACTGCTCTTCTTCCACAAAGTAATTATTTGAGACAGTTCAGATCTGATTCTAATGTCTCAAGGGTGCCTCCCGTTGAATGTTCCCCAGGCACGCCCCACTAAGAGCTAAACACACACTGATCACAGTACCTTTGACAATATGTCTCCCGGGTTGGGAATGCTTTAGGATCCTTTAGAAAAAGCTGGAGAGGTTTATCGCAGTGTGAGATGTCCTCCCTGTTACCCTGAACCTGTTGTTCCATGAACTTAACGTCAAATGAATCGATTGACTTTATCAGCCAGGTAGATGATTCAAAACGATCTCTGCTATAGATCTCTTGGGCCTCATACAGTTAAAAACAAATATATTTACTGTAGAGACAATTATTGCAATGTTTGGATTGAAAACTGTCTAAACCTTTTCTTTTTCTAAGACCTTCATCCTTCCAGGTTGCTATGATGAATGGACAGTCCTAAGGTGTGGCAAGGTGTGCTGCAAATACTATAATTCAATTCAAATAAGGTATCTAAAGCTTTAGGAAACCTAGAATGCTGTTTTCACAAATTGTTCAAAAGCATACTGATCTTATTGTATGAACATCATTTTGATTTGAATTTGAAATCAGTATAATATTTTTTTTAATACTTAGAATATATAAAATGATTTCATGCAGTTATATTATTTTCAACAGAATCAAGCAATGACTTGAAAAAAAGACTTTATACTTCCAGTTGAAATCGAGGCTCAATGAAAGGTGCAAAGATAGGATACCTTTATAGTGGTGATTCTTAAGACCTTGGAATCTGTAACAAAAAAAAAATAATAATAATAATTGGAATTGTGCTAGCAAAGCATGTTGATATCAATCTGAATAAACATTTGCCAAAAAAAAAAAAAAAAGGATTAAGACCATTCCCCTTTGCCGGCTGATGGGTAACAGTTTCAACAAGGCTGAAAAAGCACATTGTTGTTTAAAGTTAATGTCTCTCTCTCAAAGCCCCAGTGGTAAATTAGCCAAACAGCCCACATGGGGCCACTGTGTTTTTGTTGTGGGTTGTTTTTCTGCATACTTCAGAAAGTGGCTCCATGGTGAGTGGGGGCTGAAAGGTACAATGAGGGCCTTTACTTAGTTGTTGTGAAGAGTTCATGTGGGCCCCTCTTTCTTGAGTCTGCTTGGTATACTGTGTAAAATCAAGGCATCCCCCCCTCACCCAGCCACCTTCTTCTTTTCCTTCTTAGTTGTTTTCATTTTGCAATCATTAACCAATAGCATTACCGCATGTCCAGCAGGACCTAACATGTGCTGCCAGTGTCGGTCAGTTAAGGGTGCGGAGGTGGCATGGGAGGAAGCCTTTCAGAGCAGCATGCCTTCATAAAAGTCGGCCTAGCTGGATCATATGAACCCAGTGACACATTGTCAGCCTCCTTTAGAGAGGATGTCTCTGCCTGTCATACCCATAGCCGACCCCCTCCACCTAGGGTTAATTGATTCATCACAGTGCTTTCTGTACCGCAGCGTGACAGCAGCCCCTCCACTGGTGAGAAATGGTCTTTATGTCACAGTGGATGGTGCTCCTTCAGTGCTTTGATAGTAATCCAACAGTTCAGTATGGGCAGTGGGAAAAATGCTGAGATTGATTTGGGAGCATGACCCATTCTCATAGGTCAGCCAACGCATGCTGGCACAGACTTGGGGATTAAGTGTGCAGAAACAAGACTTCAAATTATCTCACTGAAAAGGAAGGAAACACAAATTGAAAGACGGGCATTCAAGTTTGACTTTTGTCTTTGTCTCAAGTTTGTATAGCGTGGCAGCTTTATTTTAAATATAAAAAAAAAGGCCATGAAAAACGTAGGAGGTAATAGTTGTCTGTCTGGTTTGATACATGTCTTCGATGAACGGATGGACAGAATTATGAAGACTCCCTTAGTAGTTGCCCCACTGATCATACTGTGTTATTTGATCTGCCCGTAAATGTCCGTCTGTTAATTGACCATGTCTAGTGATTCACAGAGGGATGAGTTCTCACAGAATTTCTTGGAAAGACTGCTGGAAACACAGAGCAGAAAAAACACTGGGTTCCTACCCACATAAACAGGCAGAAGGTCGAATGAGACGCTATGACCTGTAGTGCAAAAATAATAACTTAAAGAAGTAGTTTCATACATTGACAAAATAGCTGCTTCATTTTTGATGCTTGTACACATTAATGTCCAACGGACCTCAAGAGCATCCTTGATGCTCCTGAAGCGTGTCCAGTAAAGTGTGTCAAGATAAATCTGAAGCTTTCTGCTGCTCCTGTGTTCAATGGCAGAGAGTGGCTTTGCTATATTTGCTGTGGTCAGTGGGTAAAAAGTAGTTTTAATATATATTTAAGTGAGAAAGTCCACCCCAAAACTTTATCTGTGCAGTCAGTTCATCAATATTCTGATCCTGCATTAAAATATTATTTCGCTGTTGGATCAGCACAAAACCCCGGTACACTGGTGGTGCGTTGTCAGTTGGAATCCCCAGCAGAAGCTGCCTCAGGCCCGGTTGCCTCTTGGGGGTTTTTGCCCTACGGTTGGTGGCGACTGGAAGAAGGAGTTAGCAGTTTTCATGTAGTTAATCCAAACTGCAGGCACCGGAACAATAAACGCAAACTTATTTTATTTAGGCGTTAATAAAATGTTTCAGGGGAGATAATAGCGATCTTCATCAGCAGTGCTGTGTCTGTCTCCCTGCCAGCTTCCACATCAGCTTCTCACATTGGTTGTCGAGCAGCAAAAGTTACATTTTTCCGACTCCAGCATCTGCTGCTTGTGAAGCGCGTGACGCTCATCAAATGCTCAGAAGTTCATGTAGTGCTGCTTCGGCTGCTCAGATGCTTGAAGATCCACTGCTCCTGCTGCTCGAAATGCATTGCAGCACCTGTTTGCATGTAAACCAGCTGCTTCTCCTGTTTCAGTAGGGTGTAATCCGAATGTAGCATAACCGTTGAAGTTAAACTGTTAACTGAGAAATCATTAGCTTAAGTTTGTGGTCCAACTTTTTTATTTGTATTACTATCTGCTTTATCAGGGTTTTATCTTTACTTGCTTTTATCTGTTTTTATATGCGTGCTGTTTGTTCTATTTGTTTAACTTATGTAAAGCACTTGCCTTGCCTTAACATTTCCTTCAGATATTTGTAAATATTTTGTAAATACATGCTTTTTGTTTAAGGCACATTCCTATGCTAAAGCTACATTGAAAGGTAAGGTAGTAAAGATAGAACCATACAGTGAACCGCTGAATATGTTGGATGGTTTGGATTGATATTGATGCCATCGATGTCATGGTGATCCTCTTTCTATTAAGTCGGGCAAACATTGTACGATTTTTTCAATTGTTGCACGCAGCTACAGCTACAGTGTGAACTCACAGTTGAAAGTGTGAGTTCACGGCTGAGGATGTTTGTTCTAACACTCTGATGCCCGATTCTCTGATGTGATCTACCTGCTCACACTGTACGTCTAAAAACCTCCTCGTCGGACTCAGCTCCGCAGTGAGATGGCGCTACTCGGACTTGTCAAACCGGAAGCCGAACGAGAAGAAGAGGAATATGAAGCTCACTAGAGTGAAAGGCGCTGCCTTGGCAATTTGTGCAGAATTTGTGCAGAATTTTGTGCAGAAAGCCTTAAAAAGAAAAGGGGACGACGTATTCGGGCAAAGACATGGCTGAGCAATCGTGGCTACTACAGTCTGTCAATTTTACAGAAATAATTCCATTTCACTCAAACCCATGCTTCTGTGTTTTCGTCTGAGAGGAAGAAGAAGAATCCTTGTTTGCCCACTGAGAAATTTGCCCACGACCATCTTACGATGGCCGACTTAATTTCAAAACATATTTGTTTTTCTCCCGACCTCACAACTCCTGATTGGGAGGTGGTCATTAGAGGCTGATCGCCCCTCTTTACCCCCTGTACACTACACGACGCACCATCAGGCTGAAAGTCGGCCCGATCGAAAGATTCTCGCACGACTCTAGAATTGGCCCGAAAAGGGCAAAAAAATCATACAGTGTAAGCCCGGCTTTAGCTCAAACAATGGAACAGACCTCTGAATATTTCTGTCATCAAATATTGGTTTGGGACACCCTAGCACCCTGCCTCACATAGGCTTGTAGAAAGAACAAATAGAAAAATCAAAGAACAATTAACCAACTGATTGAGTTTAGGGGAGGAAGAGGACACAGAGCTGCAGACTGTAGATGGTATTTAGGAAAAGTCTCAGATACGATGCATTAAGGAATGATGGAGTCAGTGATTGGTAAAAGTCGCTGATCAAGTTTCAAAAATTTGTGTAGAAAACAGTTAAATGTACCTTTCCTGACCAAGGTGCTCATCCTAGAATCTGAGAGATCTCTGCTGAGCGCTACATGTAGTAAAGTCACTGCTCTCAGTAATCTCTGAGTAACGTAAGTCCTCATTACCTCTGAAATGTCACAGACATTGCTGAATAGGTATAAATAGTAGAGAGTTACAGGATTCTTCGGCTGGTTTCACCCATCTAACATTACATTTCTGTCAGTAAATCACTAATTATTGCACGCCGTAGCTTTAAAGAAATGAGCAGCGGAGTTACCAAATGTTTCACTGCAGATAATGTTAAAATATGTATTTATGTAATAGTTGAACTTTGTCAAAGTACCGGTAGTAAAGTATGGCAGGCCGCTTTAACATATAATCAGCTTTATCACACTTCCATTCCTATCTTGAATCGGCAGTTGACATAGTTGATTAAGATATCTGAATTTATACTAAGACTAGACATAATACTCTTTTCAGATATCTCTAATTAAATTCTTACTAGTCTAAATGACATATTTACCATTATTGTGTATAGGGTCCAGTATAAGATATCTGCAAAACATAACTGACTATCTGAAAGGTATATGTCAGATATCAACAATTAAATTAAATTAATTAAATTAGTAGCAGTCGAGCAGAGGGATGGATTTGTTCAGGACTGTGCTATAAAATAACACCTGCTGCTGTCCAATTTATGTTTGTTTGAACCCTTCATCCATTCAGGTCATGGTCCAGTTGAAGGAGGAAAGGATGCAAAAAGGCATATGTTCATATAAATGCAGGGTGATCCGATTAATTAGCAAATAAGCGTACTCATTACTTGTCTCATAGCATTATCTGCATCTTCCAGGCAGGCGCAATTTAAAACGGTGTGCCAGATTGATCACAATGTGGAGAAGATGCAGACAGAGGAGAAAGAGAAGATAATGGACCTTCCCTTTTAGAGTCAACTTAAAATGACAGGGAAAAAATGACCTATTGCCTCAGATAACTTGGAGCCTCAAATCCCCCAGATGTAATTCTGGGATCATTAACTGGAGCTAAGTTTTATCAAGCTTCAAGAGGTCAGACTTCATTTCCATCTGCAGCTGTGCTTGTTATCCCTGCGGCACTTTGCATGATCCAAACATTTAACAGCTTGTTTCTGTTCTCGTTTCTGTCTTCCTACTGTCACAGTCCTTAACTTTTGTCTTCATCATTTACAGCAGCAGCAGCAATATCTGGCTATTCTCCTTTGTTACTTTGCTGTGCAGGAAGCCTCAAAGGACATATTTACACATGATGGAGGTAGTCTCCAAACTGAAGTTCGCTTCTGATTCGGGAAATTAATAAAGGGCGATTCTTAATTTTCCCTAGTGTGACATGGGCACAAAAAAAGTGTTAAAATTGGCCTTTAATTTTTACCAACCAGAGAAAGGTTTCACAAATCCGAATCCTGGATCTAGTTATTCTAGAAGTTGTGTAGAATAATCTAGTACAGGTTTGATGTGTCTAGGTGTGGTAGTTTTAGAGCCATACCTCTTCTAGTGTGACATGGACTCCAAAAAGAAGTGTTAATATCGACATTTATTGAAGTTTCACAAATCAGAGAAAGGTTTCACAAATCCCACACCTCGTTTAAATTATTCTACAAGTAGCTTAGAATAATCTAGTCCAGATGTGATGTGTAGTTTTTTTTTTATTAGAGTACATGAAAGATGCTGAAGTTAGGAAAATATTTTTTGGAATCACTTTATTTTCCAAATCGGAAGCTATAATCGGAAGCCAACTTCGGCTTTGTGAAACGTGATAGGCAAAATTCAGCAGGTGTTTTTGGAATAAAATGTAGTCAGTGCTGCGCTGCATCAAGAATGGATATAGATCAGAAAATGTCTTACTTTATATTCTGACAGATGGAATTATGAAAAGGGAGGTAAGGCGAAACCTCCAAAAGGTTTTAAATTGACTCCTCTTATCATTTTGTAAATACATTTTTTGTGGGAACGAAAAGGTATTTTGTACGCAGTTATATATTTTTTCCCTATATCAGTCCTCGGGCTCAGTAGGTTTTTGCATTCCAGAAAAAAAAATGCAGAAGAAGAAAGCAGCAGTGCTAAGACAGTAGGAGACTGGAGAAAGAGAAGGGGAGAGAATGAGGCTGTAAAGTGAAAATGCAGTTATTTTATTGTATGTGAGACAACTGTGACAATTAATAATGAATTAGATTTTCCAATCTAGGGGGGAATTAGCAACAGCTTTGCACATGCCATTTGCAATCTGGATTCAAAGAGAGAAGTTTCTCTCTGCTGCAGCGAGAGGAAAACCTGCTCTGCATGACGTCAGCGAGAGAGAGAGAGAGATAGGCTTAAGGATCCAATCGTTTGGGAGGACAGCTCAGTGCTTCATGTTGCCAAAGTCTCCATTAACCCAGAAAAAAGTCACTAGATTTGGTGCTAGGCACTATTTAAAATAAAGGCACTAGAAGGGATTTAAAAGGCACTTAATTTAGCGACAAAAGTGCTAAAATTGGCAACAATGTAGTTTTGACTCAACCATGTGCCACACTTTAAATGTCGAATCGGTTGATGGCCTTTCAGATATCTGAAAAAAGATTTTGATTCCCTAAAATGTGGTTGAAAATATAAAAATTATTTACACTATTCATTATATACAGGTGCTGGTCATAAAATTAGAATATCATGAAAAAGTAGATTGATTTCAGTAATTCCATTTAAAAAGTGAAACTTGTATATTATATTCATACATTACATACAAACTCATATATTTCAGATGTTTATTTTGTTTAATTTTGATGATTACAAATGACAACAAATGAAAATCTGAAATTCATCATATCAGAAAATTAGAATATTACTGAAGACCAATAAAAACAAAGGATTTATAGAAATGTTGGCCAACTGAAAAGTATGAACATGAAAAGTATGAGCATGTACAGCACTCAGTATTTAGTTGGGCCTCCTTTGGCCTGTATTACTGCAGCAATGCGGCGTGGCATGGAGTCGATCAGTCTGTGGCACTGCTCAGGTGTTATGATAGCCCAGGTTGCTCTAATAGTGGCTTTTAGCTCTTCTGAATTGTTGGGTCTGGTGTATTGCATCTTCTTCTTCACAATACCCCATAGATTTTCTATGGGGTTAAGGTCAGGAGAGTTTGCTGGCCAATTAAGAACAGGGATACCATGGTCCTTCAACCAGGTACTGGTAGCTTTGGCACTGTGTGCAGGTGCCAAGTCCTGTTGGAAAATGAAATCTGCATCTCCAAAAAGTTGGTCACCTGCAGGAAGCATGAAGTGCTCTAAAACTTCCTGGTATGTGGCTGCGTTGACCCTGGACCTCAGAAAACACAATGGACCAACACCAGCAGATGACATGGCACCCCAAACCATCACTGACTGTGGAAACTTTACACTGGACTTCAAGCAACGTGGATGAAGTGCCTCTCTTCTTTTCCTCCAGACTCTGGGACCTTGATTTCCAAAGGAAATGCAAAATTTACTTTCATCAGAGAACATGACTTTGGTCCTGTTTCTCTTTAGCCCAGGCAAGACGCTTCTGACGCTGTCTGTGGTTCAAGAGTGGCTTGACACAAGGAATGCGACAGCAGAAACCCATGTCTTTCATACGTCTGTGTGTGGTGGTTCTTGAAGCACTCACTCCAGCTGCAGTCCACTCTTTGTGAATCTCCCCCACATTTTTGAATGGGTTTTGTTTCACAATCCTCTCCAGGGTGCGGTTATCTCTCTTGCTTGTACACTTTTTTCGACCACATCTTTTCCTTCCCTTCGCCTCTCTATTAATGTGCTTGGACACTGAGCTCTGTGAACAGCCAGCCTCTTTAGCGATGACCTTTTGTGTCTTGCCCTCCTTGTGCAAGGTGTCGATGGTCGTCTTTTGGACAACTGTCAAGTCAGCAGTCTTCCCCATGATTGTGTAGCCTATAGAACTAGACTGAAAGACCATTTAAAGGCTTTTGCAGGTGGTTTGAGTTAATTAGCTGATTAGAGTGTGGCACCAGGGGCCATCAATTTTGAACCTTTTCACAATATTCTAATTTTCTGATATAATGAATTTGAGATTTTCATTTGTTGTCATTTGTAATCATCAAAATTAAACAAAATAAACATCTGAAATATATGAGTTTGTATGTAATGTATGAATATAATATACAAGTTTCACTTTTTAAATGGAATTACTGAAATCAATCTACTTTTTCATGATATTCTAATTTTATGACCAGCACCTGTAAATTATGCTGTCCTAAAGGATCATTCAGGATTCTCAAAATGTAGTTTTTCCTAGTCAAAAATCTTTCTTTCATATCTTAAAGGTAATTGCGGATGCTAAGAAGAAGCTGATTTTTATGACAACACGGCCTGCCATAGAGGGGGAATCTTAGTTAAATCCTTAAAAGTTACTTCAAAAATATAACTATAGCATTTGTTACCCTCCTCAGATTTAAAATATAAGTTTTGCAGAGCTTGTTTTATTTAAGCCATATTTATTTTAAACTGAACAATACAATGAAAGGAGTTTAGTCCTGGTAAACAGGTTAACCCATTACACCAACGATCAGCTGGATGTATCCATAATCCTCCCGGATAAAATAACATGTAGTTTATGATTTCATATTCTAAAGCAAATCCATCAATTATCACCAGTTCAGATGTTATTAATAAATCAAAAGTTGTAAATCCCTATACTTGTTTATGTTCACTGTATGCTTGCTTCTCTGTGTTACAAATCATTACTAAAACAAATCCCTTATATGTGTAAAAACACTAATCAGCAATAAAGCATTTTTAATTCTGATTCCATCTGTGAACAGTGAGCTCCGATCAAAGACAATCAGATTCTCTTCCTTATATCTGGTGGGAGAAGTGAACTCTCCTTACCTGCCAAGTGGATTCTTGCAGACAGCGCCGTCATAAACACCAAAGTCAAAAAGACTCTCATCGTCTCGCGTACCTGAAAAGAATATGACTTCAAATACAGCTGCTTTTTACAACCATTTATAAAAAACTATATTTTGAAATTATCACAAAAAAACATTGTGATGGTTCAATACTGTTTAAAGGAAATCTCCTACCCAAGTTTTCCAGTGAGAATGAAATGCGTGATTTCTGGAAGAAAGTAAATAACAGGTCCTGTGTGAGATGTGTGGGAGGAACTGGGGCCAGCAGAAGGCAGTTTGGGGCTCTTATGGAAAGGGGGGGGGCAAAAAAGGGAGGAGACAATAGTTTTAACAGCTACTCAAAGAGTGTGTGTGTGTGTTATGCAACAATCGGATTATTAGGTCTGAAATTCTAAGAAGGGGTAGATTGGATCAAGATTTCAGATAAAAATAATTTGAACTTCCCCATCCCCCCAAAGCAGATACACCCCACCACCAGCGCCCCATCCCCATACAGTACATTCCAACAGAATTACAACACAGCAGTACAAACTTGTTTCCATCTTCTCAAAGTTACAACCCATGGTTCTGATTTACTGTCAGATAAGTTGAGCTTTGTTTCAGTTTCCCAACCCCAGGTCTAACAGCCTATAGAGGAGTGTTGGCCTAGTGGTTAGAGCAGTTCATTTGTGCTCTGAGAAGGTTGCAGTTGGATCCCCACAGCCTGCACTCTGGTTTCCTGAGCAAGACCTATAACCCTGATTGCTCCCCGGGCGCCGCACAATGGCAGCTCACTGCTCCCCAAGTGGATGGGATAATGCAGAGGTAAATTTCTCCAATGTGAGATTAATAAGGTTCAATCATTATCTGGGTCCTATTTTTGGAGGAAAATCTGTCTGATCTGCCAAACAGCACATGCTTTATTTGCAGAGCCTCTGAGAACGGGCAGTGATTTCAGCCTTAAAAGACAATTGCATTCACTTTGTGAGACAAAAACGTTCTGTCAGGCTTCAAGTGCTAGACGGGCCTTAAAGTTTCAGTTGAGAGGCCAAGACATGCCAAATTGTCCAGATAAATGCGGCTTTAAGGGGGTCTTGGTAGTTTTCCTGGAATTCTAATGAAGCCATCTTTTGTGCTTGTGTGCTGGCATGAGCAGAGTCTGGGACTCTTAAACAAGCATGTCGTGCTTCACAAAGTCTTACAGATCTGAAGAAGGCTTGGCAGTGTCTGGCAGTGCACTAGAGGTGGCCGCCAGCTTTTGTAAGCACCGAATGAACCAATAGATGAAGCTCTGATTGACAAACCAGAGTCCTGAGAAAGGCATGGAGGGGCCGAGAGGACTCCAGAGTCTGTGACAGGATTCAAACACTTTGGAGAGAGGAGCTGTTTGAAAAGTCTGTTTATCCTTTCCCCCTATCATTTTATTTATGTTTTTTATTGTTTTAGAATAAAAAAACAATACAGTATCATACTTGAACCACTGGGATACAGGTCACAATTCCACCAATTATCATGGAAGTATATGATGAAACATACAATACTAATAAAAAGCAACACAAAAAAAAAAAAATATATATATATATATATATATATATAAAAAGCCAATTTTATTTTATAGATGAGATCAGCCGAATATCTCTGCAATGTTTTTGTAAGATTTCCTTTGGCAATGGCATCTTTTTCCAGAAATCTAGAACATATAGCTGGAATATTCTCAGTCATCCGGGTCACATGAACCACAAAGCATTCTTGGAGCAAACATGGCTAAATCTGCTCACACTCGAGATGATTGAATTGGTAAAAACTCATTCAGGTTGCCTCCTTCTCTTATACATGTCTCAGCATTAATCACTTATACTGAAGTAACTTAAATACTGTGTTTGTTTGTTTAGGCCATGTCCAGGCGCGCTGGAAGCTGTTTCAAGCTAGCGGGGCTGATGGCTGGGTTGGAAAACACGTGACGTCATTATGTTGAGGGCTGTGGCTGATGTTTTTAACATAATATTGTAGGCCTACATTTGTCGCCAAAAACTGCCATTTAAAATGCATCGGAACAAAGCATGAACATTTTAAACTTTATTTCTTCTCTTTTAATCATTCGAAACAAACAACAGCTCCCAATCAACAGGATCAGGAATACTTGAATGAAACATGGCCTAAATATAGCCTAAACTGAGCATTGAACGTCTTGAAAGTCCATTCGACTATGGATATGGGGAATGATTTAATATCTGAATCAAAAAACACACACACAAAAAAAATTTTACTAATTTCCTATTTTATCACTAAATAGCTTAATACAGACATAATATTTAGTGATATGCAGCCTTATTCTAGCGTATAGGGGAATTAAAACCATTTCTCACATCGAAATAGTCAGAAATACGTTTCTGCTGCCTATTGCTAGCCATGCCTAAACGAATGTGAGGTGGCGGAAGCTTCCGGGGGAGTAGCCTAGTTTTTTATGAAATATTAAAATAATGAATCATTAGTTTATATCTTATACACAGCCCATCATTTTAATCCCATATCAAACACAGTCTTTTAAAAAATAAATACATAAATAATTTCATGTTTTTAAGTACAATATTATGTTACTCCACAGCCCCCCACCATGGGGGGCTGATGCTATGACGAGGGAGGCTGCAGCCCCCGCAGCACCCCCCTTCCCGTGCCACTGGCCATGTCTCCAAATTTTTTACCTGTCATGAATATTTAAAAGTACATAATTATATTAAAGTTCTTTTCCCATTAAAATCTCAAAGATTTTTTTTACGTCATTAGTGGGATTTGAATAATCCGTTCAGATCTAAGTGACAAGTAACTCAACTGTAGGTACTGCATGTTTTTGGGTAACTTTCAGTGAACGGCTTTTACTGCATGCATTTATATTTTATGTGAAAGTTGAACTGAATGGATCAGTTTTAAGGTAATGAACGAGAGTGATGTTCACTCTGCCCCCAGATTCCACATCCTCACGTACGTCATGTGAAGTACTTGTCATGTTAATGGAGAACTGTTCCACATTTATTTAACCAGGAAGTCCCTTGAGATTGAAATCTCTTTTTCGAGGGAGACCTGGCCAAGACGGCACACCAGGTAAAATACAAACAGAAATACAACATAGACAAAATCTCACATAGAGGAAAAGACAGGTCACATAGGGCAGTTACATTTTTGAATTACATGACATTTTAACATGGCCTTAAATTCATTGATTGGGAACGAGCCCTTGAAAAAGTCCTAAATTTGGTTTTCTTACTATTTAGCACTAACTTAAGGCCATGTAGAGAAACTTGAAGCTGCTGAAATGCCAACTGAAGGTCATGCATGGCTTGGTTCATTGAAGAGGCAACTGAATAAATCACAGTGTCATCTGCATAAAGATGCAGTTTAGCAGTTTGCACGTCCTTTCCAATGTTGTTTATGAATATAGAAAATAAGATGGGGACTAAAATCGAACCTTGAGGAACACCCACATCCACCGCTACTCCCCCGCATGTCACCACCCGTGTACGTCTTCTCCATCCTTCACCTTTAAAATGTGAAGCAGAGCTATTTTTTTGCTCCAGTCTGGTCCAGCCAGGTTAAGATTGCAATTGCAATGAACAGGAAAAAGAATGTTGAGAAGATCCAGTTTGTCAAATTAAAATATGGTAACAACAGATCGGTAATTACAAATTAGAGCATAATTCTTACATATTCCCCAAAACTAAGACCATTTAATTAAATTATTGGATAAAAACTATTAGTACTTCAACATACCAGGAAGCAGATTTCTCATCTTGATCAAATATTTATTTTGTACTCAAAGGCTTAAAAATGTAATCAAATCCAGTAGCACAAACTCCAAGAGTGCATCTCACAACTTAAAAACAAACTTCTTATTGCAGGCAGTGATTAAGAGATGTTTGGAAGTAAAGAACAAACAGTTCATACAAGCTAATTTGTATGATCCTAGTTATCTGTTACAAAAATCCACAACAAAAAGAAAATATTTGGGCAGAAACTGCATATATGCTGTATCCTGATTTTTTCTTCTTAAAGAGAATGTGGGATTTCGGGGAGAGAATAATGAGTGATACACACAGCTCACATTTGCATACATTTACAGGGTTCCTACAGCATAAGGCAAGTTAAATTCAAGACTTTTTAAGACTTTTTAATGCCACTTGAAATAAAAATTTAAGACCAAATTCACAAGAAACACAAGAAAAACCTGCTGGCGACAACTTAACCCAAAGGTTTATTATAACATAAACCACTGCACTAATGTTTCAAATTTTGAAAAGCTTCCCATACAGGAAGAAAGCTAAAAACACACAAATGACAGATATATTTTAACAATTATTTAACTGAATTCACGAACTTTGTTTTAGCAGGAAACAAAACAAATCAGTTTTAAAGCCACAACATAACCAGTGCTAAGACTTTTTTGCAGCTATTTTTCTTTGTACGTTTTCTTAGTATGTTTGATCTGGTAATAAGTGGAGGCGTTGCAGAGACAAGGGTGGAACTAAACTGAGAAATACCGGCTGTTTCACTCTAACTCCATTTACACGCTTTGTGTTTCGTGCTTCGCATATGTGACTCCACTGCCTTAATTCCCATCGTTCCGAGCTTGAATGACTTCTTGCACAAAATCCACTGAGCCTCATGTATGTCCCCTGGTTTTAGCCATGGAGAAAACTCTTGGCTGGAGACAATTTTGGTTACATTTACACTTGATCATATTTTCCAGACAAAAAGTTAATGCCGCATCTCCCAAAAATTGGTTCCGCTATCGGGACGGAACCAATAATTGCGAGCCATTATTTTTTTTTAAATAAAAAAAGTCAATTTTATTGTTTTATTTAGATTACAAAAATAAATTATAATAAAAATAATCCTATTTATGATGTTTTAAAAATTAGGACCTACAAAAGACTGATTTAAGACATTTTAATACCAATTAAAGCCTTAGTTTTATTTTGAAGAATTCAATGCCTTTTAAGACTTTTTAAGGACCCGCGGGAACCCTGATTTGATAATGACACTTTTCATTGGATAACATTAGGTTTTACGGCACTTGTCATAAAAAATGGCAAAACAGAGCAGCATGTCTACTGCTAGTACTAGTCTGTGCCATTCAGACTCGTCTACTGGTATTTCTGATGCCAGTTTAGCAGAATGCTGGGCAAAGCATTATGAACCAACAAGGAAGATTGGGACAGAAAAAAATTTGTTTGTCCAAACTGTGCCCAACGGGACTTAAAGGAATAGTACACCCAAAACATGATTAGCCTTCATTTTCTACTCACCCCCATGCTGAACAACACTCTGGAGTACTGTTTTGATATCTCAAATGCATCTGGAGATCTGGGAGGCTTCTTGCTGTCTGCTGACATTCAAATAATGGAGGTCTATGGCGCCCGAGGCAGAAAGGTCCATAAAAGTCCACAAAAAACGTGTCAATATTCGTCCATACTGCTCGTCCAATGTATTCCAAGTGTCCTGAGTGGGTAGCATCCAGAATTTACTCGAAACGAAGTCATTTAGAATGTTTTTAGAGCATACAGTTGTGGTCAAAAGTGTACCTACACTTGTAAAAAATCATAATGTTATGGCTGTCTTGAGTCTTCAATAAGTTCTACAACTCTTATTTTTCTGTGATAGAGTGATCGGAACACATACATGTTTGTCACAAAAAACAGTCATAAAATTTGGTTCTTTCATAAATTTATTATGGGTCTGCTGAAAATGTCACCAAATCTGCTGGGTCAAAAATATACATACAGCAACAAAATTTGTCAACTTTGGTGATGTAGCGAGTTGTGTCAATCAAATTAGCTTCATGTCATGGCCTCTTCACTTCTTCTAAGTGATTCTGATTGACTACAGCTGTTGACTTCTCATGAGCCCATTTAAATAGGGCTCATTTGACCCAGTGATTAGACTCAGCTACAAAAGCTACAATGGGAAAGTCAAAGGAACTCAGTGTGGATCTGAAAAAGCGAATTATTGACTTGAACAAGTCAGGGAAGTCACTTGGAGCCATTTCAAAGCAGCTACAGGTCCCAAGAGCAACTGTGCAGACAATTATACGCAAGTATAAAGTGCATGGAACAGTTGTGTCACTGCCACGATCAGGAAGAAAACGCAAGCTATCACATGCTGCCGAGAGGAGATTGGTCAGGATGGTCAAGAGTCAACCAAGAATCACCAAGAAGCAGGTCTGCAAGGATTTGGAAGCTGATGGAACACAGGTGTCAGTCTCCACAGTCAAGCGTGTTTTACATCGGCATGGACTGAGAGGCTGCCGTGCAAGAAAGAAGCCCTTGCTCCAGAAAAGGCACCTTAAGACTCGGCTGAAGTTTGCTGCTGAACACATGGACAAAGATAAAACCTTCTGGAGGAAAGTTCTCTGGTCAGACGAAACAAAAATTTAGCTGTCTGGCCACAACACCCAGCAATATGTTTGGAGGAGAAAAGGTGAGGCCTTTAATCCCAGGAACACCATGCCTACTGTCAAGCATGGTGGTGGTAGTATTATGCTCTGGGGATGTTTTGCTGCCAGTGGAACTGGTTCTTTGCAGAAAGTAAATTGGATAATGAAGAAGGAGGATTACCTCCAAATTCTGCAGGAAAACTTAAAACCATCAGCCCGAAGGTTGGGTCTTGGGCGCAGTTGGGTGTTCCAACAAGACATTGACCCAAAACACACATCAAAAGTGGTAAAGGAATGGCTAAACCAGGCTAGAATTAAGGTTTTAGAATGGCCTTCCCAAAGTCCTGACTTAAACCCCATTGAGAACATGTGGACAGTGCTAAAGAAACAGGTTCATGCAAGAAAACCATCACATTTAGCTGAACTGCACCAATTCTGTCAAGAAGAGTGGTCAAACATTCGACCTGAAGCTTGCCAGGACCTTGTGGATGGCTACCAAAAGCGCCTAGTTGCCGTGAAAATGGCCAAGGGACATGTAACCAAATACTAATGTTGCTGTATGTATATTTTTGACCCAGCAGATTTGGTGACATTTTCAGCAGACCCATAATAAATTTATGAAAGAACCAAATTTTATGACTGTTTTTTGTGACAAACATGTATGTGTTCCGATCACTCTATCACAGAAAAATAAGAGTTGTAGAACTTATTGAAGACTCAAGACAGCCATAACATTTGATTTTTTACAAGTGTAGGTACACTTTTGACCACAACTGTAAACAGTAGTATATAGGATTTCCTAAAAGCGCGTTCACGAGTCTACGGAAACCGCGGCAGACCAAACCAGATGAAAGTGCGCATTCAGCGTCTGCTCTGCCGATAATGCAAGCGTAGTAGAAGATATGTGCCGTTTACCTGTGCAAAGAAAGAAACAACGAAAGAAAAATGTCTGAGGACTTCAGTGTTGAGGAAGAGCATGAGTTCTTTGCCGAGCTGAATGCGCACTTTCGTCTGATTTGGTCTGCCGTGTTTTCCGTAGACTCGTGAACGCGCTTTCAGGAAATCCTATACACTACTGTTTATGCTCTAAAAACATTCTAAATGACTTCGTTTCGAGTAAATTATGGACGCTACCCACTCAGGACACTTGGAATACATTGGACGAGCAGTATGGAGGAATATTGACACGTTTTTTGTGGACTTTTATGGACCTTTCTGTCTCGGGCACTATGGACCTCCATTATTTGAATGTCAGCAGACAGCAAGAAGCCTCCCAGATCTCCAGATGCATTTGAGATATCAAAAAAGTACTCCAGAGTGTTGTTCAGCATGGGGGTGAGTAGAAAATGAAGGCTAATCATGTTTTGGGTGTACTATTCCTTTAAGCAAATCTGTACGTCAACCACGTTCGCTTTTATTTTAAAGTGACACATGGAGTTAAAGCATCATAGCGATCTTGGGAAATATCTGCGACTGAATGAGGAATGCAAGAAGTCATTTTGGATCCTTGTCTTTTCAGCAGAACCTGAATGTTTCTAAAGTTCTGTTAAATTTGGCTAAATAAAGGCTTCACTGCACAAACAGTATTACTGGATCCATTGTTTTCCATTTCTTTCTGTATATTATGATCACACCTTTAAAGGGGTAAATATGTTGTTCTATTGTGGAGGATTGTGGCTTAATTTATGAAATAAACTTTAACTTTTTCACAAACCTATACATGTAACCAAATATACAACTTCACAACTGCACTGTGCAAAAAATATGGAAACTCAAGAACAGACAGGAAACGGAGGACCTGGCATCTTTTAGTTGGAAACCATAAAGCATTTTGTAAGACTTTAGGAATGCAGTGAACCACAGTCAGGAGACATTTGCAAAAATATAAAGAACACAAACTCTGCTAAACCTTCCCAGTCTTATCCGACCTTCCATCAACTCATCCGGGCCATGAAAGAATCCAGAATATCTGGAGCGCTGCAGGACTCTCTAATGAGCAAAACATATCTGGTGTTGTGAACCTGAAACATGTTGAGATGACCAGAAATAACTGAAGGGTGGTTAAGGAGTATTCCTTCCAGAGTCATATTAAAGGCACCCACAGGCTTCCCTGGAGTTGCTTTACTGTACATCCAAGTCAGGGAATTTCCCATCCTTAGAGGAATGTATTATTAAGGAATACAATATTACTCTGAAGAAAACCCTAAAAACCTCAAAGTAAACTAAATCAGACAATGTGTTCAAAAGGTCTCCATCACCCATTCAAGCAGAATAATCTTTTCTTGGAATATAAGAAAGGACTAAAACATGTTTTTCTTCTGAATGATTGGGTCTTTGTTCTGGAACATTCCTTATTCCCACAGGGGGTCTGCTCTTTTTTACTTCTGCTGCAAAGAAGTGATGGCTGGTAAATACAGACCCCAACAGAGTACATCATTTCAACGTCCAAAACCGAGGCCAGCAGCTTGTTCGTGTCACTGTGTGTAAGCCTCAGTTCAACTGCTCTAATACATAATTTGTCTTTTTGCAACTCTGGGAACCTCTGACAGAATAAACAAATGAGCAGTGAAACTTTCAGTTATATGTGAGGTTTATTCAGGTCATAATTAGACATTGAGCTCAACATTGTTCTCAAAGAAGTGGACAGCAGGGTAGAGATGGTACAAACGTGCCTCTATACAGATCGTTCTCGTCTTCCTTGGGTAGCACAGAAATGAAAACAGGAATATAGACACGATGCTCGGACAACATAAAACAATCTGTAAAAGGCTAAAATCTTCATATAAAAATATTGGTAAAACAAAGTCCATCAGTCCAGTGCATAAAATGCATGCAGTCAACATAAAAAGAAAAGTTGGTTTAAACAAAGTTCATAGTTTAAACCAACTCCTTAAAAAAAAAGAAAAACAAAAAACAGGATCTTAGAGAGTGGACACACTATAGCATCAGACCTCAGTCTAAAACGGAGCCACTGATATATTTACTTATAAAATCAACACTTGCATTCTTGCATCGGAATTTTTTTTAAATAATTTTTCAGCAAAGACACAGACAAGACTCTTCCAGCATCAAACTACAATTTCTTCATGACATGCTATCATATTTAAAATATTGCTAATAGATGGACGGGTTAATAAAGCTTTCACATAAATTATCTAATTAATATCTTAACAGTTTGAGCAAAAATAAAAATAAAAAAAGAAAATATTAAAATCTCACTCTATGATCTATTGCTACTGTGTCATGTCTGGAAAATACAAACATGAAAGCAGTTTAGATTCAACACAAAAATTATCAATTGGGGAGGGGGGGTTGTTCCACAGCAGCAACTAGAACTTCGGAATATTATGGTTTGCAGGAAAAAAAAAAATTAACAGTCTGGTTATCCTCCACTTTATTTCTGAGCTGCTTTGTATTGGAGTTGGTTTCATGTGTGGGCAGTGGAAAGAGGGCTGGGGTGGGGCGGGGTGGGGTGGGGGTGTATATTGCCACATATCCAGTTCTTGCTGTGGAAAAGCACCTCATGATTTCTACGAGTACCGGTCCCAAAAAAAATGGGTCTTGGGTCTGAAACAGTTCTGAGTTTTTTGATCAGATACTTTGTCAAATAGTCTATTGTGGAAAATTGCCAGATATTAAATTTATTTAAAAAGATTGAGAAGGCAATTTATTTTAAAGCAGTTTTTAGCTGCTTCTCTCCCCATCAGTACCAGTTCTCAGAGTTTGAGCCTAAAGAACATTTTAGGGCAGTCAGACGTCAGGGGCGACTTTACATAGGAGGGGGATTCTAACTGACTCAGCAGGTCCAGACTGCTGCAGGGACTCTGGCCAATACAGCATGCTCCTTCTGGATTACCCCGTTCCTCGATTGGACAGGAAATTCTACTGCCTATTCCTCCAGTAAAGCTGAAGCTACCACTTTTACCTTGGAGCATCTTTCTTTCCTGGGCCTTTTTTGCCCTGTTTGCAATGTACCGCACCCTACTTTGGCTCCTCGAGGAGGTTCGTCGCACCAGCGTCTCCGGAACATCCTCCACCTCTGTGTCCCTAGGTCCGTTTTCTGGTGTAAAGTCACTTGGATTCAATGGTTCCACATCAGTCAGTTTGCGCAGCTGCTCCATCAGGTCACTCTGGGGTTGACACTTCCGTGGGCTGCCCTTGCGGAGCTGATCTTTAGCGGATTTCACAATAAAACTGCGGCTGATGCTGCGATACTTGCTGTCAAAGTTGCAAGAAATATCCTCAGAGGTCAGGTCACCTAGGCTTTTGGACATGCCAGCTGCTGAGGTTGCAGTTGTAATTGATGGCTTTTTGGTGGATGTCTGCTTAAGTCCTTCCATGTAAAGCCGGCACCAGGTGTGCCTTCTTTGGGTCAACCTACCGGATGAGTCCTCTGTACAGTTTTGATCTGGCTGCAGTGAGTGGGGCTCAAGCTCATCTTTGGGACAGTTTCCTTGCTGAAGGTTGGGGTTAGACTTGCTCTTGCTGACCCTTGGTTTGGTGCTTGGGTGGTTGATCCAGGGGGGCTCACTGCTGTTACTGGGCAGGATGATGAGGCTCCTTCTGGCCAGGTTAGGAAGAGAGAGGTCAATGACTGTATCATTTGAGGAGATGCTAGAAGAGGAGGAAACACTGTCTCTGTGGCTCCCTGGCTCCAGTTTGCTCCAGATTCGGTCGTTCATGGTAGCATCTGTACAGACCTCTGGTACAGGAGATTGAGCCAACCAGGCTCCATCCCCTCGAACATGCCCTTCGCTTTTTGCTCGTCTTACTGGGATGTGCAGTGGTGTAGCGGTAAAAAGAGTTCTCCTGGCCTGGGACATCTGAGCAGTTGGGATTGTTGGAGTTCCTATGGGGCGTCTTTCACCAGGGGGTTCCACTCTGAGATCTGGCTTTTTTTCTCTGCCTGCTGTCTCAACTCGAGTTTCTGGGGTTTTCTTCAGTTCTTCGTCAACGGTGCCTACATGTGCCTGTGAGTCTTGAGACGTCTCTGATATTTCTGTAGGACTGCTACCTGCTAAGGTAGCAGAGGCTGTGCAAGAGGTGGAGGGTTTAATTTCTCTGTTCACTTTAGTGGTACTGTGCACTGCTCCATGTGAAGCATTGTGTACTGGCGAATGTAAAATGGATGATTGATGGATTGGTGAGGATGTGGTGCGATATGGCAACAGGCTCCTCTCTGGGGTAGGGGCAAAGCTGCTACTGGGGATTCCTCCTTTCACTGATGAAGGGAAGCCCAAAGTCTGCTCCATGGAAATGTCTGTGGAGAGAGTAACAAAGAAAAAAACATTATGAAATTGGCTTTTCTATTCCAACCTGCTCAATGTTAAGTTCCCCCTAAAACATGTTTCAAACTCCTCAATTTAATCTTTACAGGAAGGTTTCATTTAGGAGATGGAGTCCTGCAACCAGAAATTGTATTTTACCTGTATAAAATTAGTTGTTTTTATTAGTATTCAATTAAATTCAAAAATGCTATATCAATCCCAAATGAAAAATAATCAATTCTAATTATTAATATAATGATTGACACAGCTCCATCTGTTATTTGATCTGACTACATGCACAAAAAACTGGTGACGTGATGTTTCATGCACAACTATGGATGCATAAAAACAAACTTTGCATGAAAATTTGTGGTATCCACAAAGATTTAAAGTGTCAATGTCAAGCTAAAAAGAACCAAATCTTACTCAGAAAATAAAATGCTGCTTAATTAATGTTAACTGAAGGAGTATGTTGTTTTCAAATGAATTAGAGTTTTGGGGATTTTAACTTGAACAAAGAAACTGAAATCACATTTAGCCTCAACACCGACAAACCATAACACACACACACAAAATGATGGAAACACGTTCAGTCAGTTGCAAACTGAACATTTTACTTCCTTACTCTTGGTGGAGGAGGACACTTTTTCTCAGTCTCCCCACTGTCCTATCTGCCTTGCTTTAGATCTGCTTTTTGTCTTCATTTTGGAGCCTCCTTTTGCTTATCTTCCAAAACTGAATCATGGATCTGGTAAGCTTGTCTTTCAACACAACTGATCAATGTTTTTCCAACAGCAGAACAGGGTTTGGGAGAACTATCTAGTCCAGATGGGTTGTTTTATTTTATATACACATTGAACTCTGTTAAAAGGGAGTTTTTCCTCTCTACTGTCGCTACAAGCATGCTTAGTGTGAGGGATTGTATTTGAGTCAATGCAATCAACTTGTTTTCCTTAGATAGAAAACTTTGAATCAATCTGACTGGATGATCTGGTTGAACTGTAAAGTGCCTTGAGATGACTTGTGTTATGAATTGGCGCTATATAAATAAACTGAATTGAATTGAATTCCTGGCAGAAATGGAACATGTCTGTATGTCTGACAATTATGTCAGTGAAGTACATGGATGACATGTACATAATTGTGCTGTCTGGAGTTTTTGGATACCTGACATATCGGGGGAAATTCTGAATTCTGAGTGGTTCTACTGGAGGTTTCTTCTATTTAAAAGGGAGTTTTTCCTCTTCACTGTGGCTACAAGCATGGTTAGTGTGAGGGATTGCCTTTGAGTCAATGCGATCAACTGGTTTTCCTTAGATAGAAAACTTTGAATCAATTTGACTGGATGACCTGGTTAAATTGTAAAGTGATTTAAGATGACATGTGTTGTGAATTGGTGCTATAGAAATAAACTGAATTGAAAACATGGACAGTCTTGGCCATTGTTAGGCTTCCCCGCATGTATGAAGGGATCTGCAGAGCTGGTTACACCCAGACTTTGATGTTAACAAAGCAATTTCAAAACCTGGATCTGATCCTGGCACAGGATTGCAGGCTGGCTGTGGGTTCTAGATTCAGAGGTGAAATAGTATAATCTTGGAGAAAGTTCTAAACTTATATCTGGCGGAAAAGACCAGAATTCTTTCTATTTGGACTCAAAATTGCGAAGAACAAGCAGAGACTCAAGGCTGATGGAAAAAAAAAAAAAATCAGCTATCTGTCTCCATCTGAAATCTGGCTCCCCTGCGTAGCCTTGGAAGATCTCATATTTTTAAGTTCTTAAGTTCTTCATGTAAACAACGTTCTGCTCCCTCTTTCACCTCCCATCCATTAAGACAGCTGTAGACCTGCTCTGTGTGTGACCGGTTGATGAAGATTACATGGTACTGCACTGCAAAAATGTAAATCTAAATAAGTCATTTGTTCTTACTTGAATTGAGGAGGTAAGTGCGACACTTCAATGGAACAAGACAATTTAATAAGAAAGACAAAGACAATAAAATAAGAAAAAAACAATTGAATTGTCTTATTTCAAGTGCATATTGTTTAAATTATCTTAATTTAAGAGTAAATATAGTCAAATTATCTTATTAAGCTGGTCAAATTAAGGTACGTTAAGGAACGTTTTTGCAGTGTGTCAACGACAATGGCCCCCCCAGGGACAGGTCTTCACGGACTCATTTTGCACACACAAGCACACAAGCATACTTACAGATACAAATACACACACCTTCACCATGACAACCCTAAGATGTTTTTTTTTTATTTTTATTTTTTATCTGTGTTGCTTCTTTGTGCTGAAGATAAAAGCGTGAAAAATGATTCTACCCCCCTCCTCTTACCCATTGTTATTCTTATTTCTTTTTGTCCCTAATATTAAAGGCAGCGGTTTCAATGGAAACAATATGTCCCCCATGTATTTTTTTGTCTTTTTTTGGATGGGCTTTATTTGAAAAACAAATGTGTTTGTCACCCAACGTTCCGGTTGGGTGACAGAATAATCACTGAACCATATGAGCCTTGAATTAAGTATTAAGGTAAAATAATGCAGTAACATGTACGCACAGTTTCTCTGTACACTGCAAGTTTAAAAAAAAAACTCTTGCTACAATCAACTTGAAATATGAAAGCTGGAAACGCTTCTATCTATACAGCCCTGGGAGAGGGAGCGACATCTGGATTGTGTGAAACTACACAATGTTTTCACTGTTTCCTCTCTTTCAGTCAGGAGGTGTTATGCAACACAAAAGGTTTCCAAGTATAGTAGGAAAGGCCCCAACACTGGCCTACATAACCTCTTAGAAAAAAGCTGGACTGGAGCTTACTTGGAAAACATTCCTCCATACCTCATCAACTATACTCCCACCCTGAAACACAAATCCACCCCTACCTAAACTGAATGTGTTTTTTTTTTTTAAATATGCTGCTTTGTGTGAGCCGAAAAAACTGGATATAAACAGAATTCTTACACTAAATTGTCAAAGAATTATTTGTCTAGCCAGAAAAAAAGGTCTCCGGTAAGAAGTCAGGACTGACCCTGCAGGCTGGTGGGGTTTTCCATTTTGAAGATTTTGTAGTGTGCACTGGTGCCCAATCATGCTGGACATAGGGGGGAAAAAAATCATAAAAACAAAAAAATGTGGGAACAACTAGGATGCTTATAAGGGTTAGAAAAAACATGGTAAACTTCTCAAGCTCTGAGAATCCCCCGTCACTGCTTCACCCAGCTATAAACCAGTCTTCAGTCTTTGTTGTGGCTATTTTTCTCCTTTTCTTTAAAATGTAGTCGACATTTAGTTTTAAAATCTTTTAACTGATGTATTTTAAGAGCTTCGTTGGCAGGTTCGTCATGACATTGGGAGCTGGTGCAGCTCTATGAAAAAGAATGCAACTCTTCTTTCTTTACAATAAGGTCAAGCACCTGTGATTTCTTTACTTTTTTCCCTCAAATATGGCCGATTGTTTCAATATGTGGGACAGCAGAACAGAAGAGAAAACTGTGGCACTATCCCACACACAACAGGACATCTGACCCTCCCCCCTTCCTACTTGGAACTGGAAGGCACCATCCCAACTGTTCCCACACACAATCGTTTATTTGGAGAAATGGTGTAAAGTATGATATTTTAGCTATTCTTCAACTATTGAAACAATGTATGTGTTAGGATACATTCATACTGTGAAGTTTGCAAAAAAAGAAGAAGCTATCACTAAAAATCACTCTCTACTTAAGAGACCATTGTACATTCTACAGTAAACTCTATGGAAAGTTTCTCCAAACTCAATGGTCTAAGTTTGATTCTTATGACTTTTTTCCAGCAATTTCTTAATTTTTTTGTGTTTAGAACTTTATTTAATTGTAAAAAATAGTGTATTTAAATTAACTGCTGAAAGGTAGGAATAGAAAATATTCTCATGTACATTTCAACTGAACCCTGTAACACTGGGTTAGGGTTAGATTAAAATTTTTATCTGATTCACTCCGGGCATAGGTTGGATGAAAAATGGAAATGAGAAAGAATTATGATTTAAAATCCCATAATGGGCAAATAAACAATGATTGGTGGCAAAAAAATAAATAAATACAATGACTTGAAGGTGTAACAGCACTACTTGCATTGATTCAGTGACTTTACCTGGCTCTTGTCATCCCCTCAATTCTGCACTAGGAACAGAGAAAGCATGCAAGAAGGAACAGAGAGGAAAAAAGGAATTATCAAAACTGCAATCAGGAGGAAGAAGAGAGGAAAAAAGCCATTTTTAGAGCACATAGCATTTTATTAAGACATGTTGCTCTGTAATGTCATAGTGTACCGCATGCAACAGGCAGCATAAAGATTGTACACATGATCTTCTCCAACAGAGCAGGAAACCAGGAGTTTGATTTGAAACAGTTTTCCCTAGAAATGATTTGTTGCAAATGAAATGTAGTCCATCTGAGAGATTTGGTAGTGGGGGTAAACACATTTACAATTCAAAAACACATTAACAAATAAAAAAAAAAATAACATTTGAAGAAACAAAATTATATTTTGTGAAACAAATGTATTTTTGAAAAAAAAAGTTAAAATTTTTAAAAACAAATTTACATTTTAGCAAACAAATTTACATTAACAAATAAACAAAATAACATTTGAAGAAACAAAATTATATTTTATGAAACAAATGTATTTTTGAAAAAAAAAGTTTAAATTTTTAAAAACACATTTACAATTCAAAAACACATTAACAAATAAAAAACAAAATAACATTTGAAGAAACAAAATTATATTTTATGAAACAATTTATTTTTGAAAAAAAAAGTTTAAATTTTTAAAAACACATTTACATTTAAGGAAACAAATTCACATTTTAAATAAGTTAGATTTTAGGTGAGAGAAAGTTTCATTTTAGAGAAAAAAAATACATTATAGGGAAACAAATTTACATCTAAAAAAAATTGACCGTTCGGAAACACTTGTACAAGTGCAAAGACAAAACTGCAAGTGGCAAA